CGCCATTAGTTTGGTTGTTCAGTAGCCGCACACACGGGGGGTGCTGTCAGAATTGTTCACCTACACCCACGCCCCTCTCTATAGGAAGTAACAGTGTCAGCTAGAGAACAGTGCTTCCGTACGGGTGCTTTGGCCTTTAGTCCTACAAACTTCACTCATCCCGAAATGTACTTACTTTTCCTCCCAACTCTTTCAGTAAGATTGTTTTATATATTTTTAATGGAGTTAAAATGTTTTGTCACATTCAGCATTGGATCCTAGGAGACCTCAATTTCCTAAATAATGTATATATTTTCAGTTTATATACATTCAAGTTCATTCTTTGTGCTGTAAAAATTCTGTGGGTTTTGACACATGCTCTGTGTAATGTGCCAATATCTTCACCCGAAAATATTCCTACTGCTTCATCTAGTCAACTTCCCCTCTCCCCTGAACTTGTGTCAATCACAGATCTTTTTTTTTTTTTTTACACATCTCTTGTCGTTTTTTTTTCTTTTCCTATATGTCACACATATAGGATTCCTATACACAATTTGTAGCCTTTTCAGGCCAACTTCTTTCACTTAGAAGTATGCATTTAGATTTATCCATATTTTTTTGTGGATTGTTAACTCATTTCTTTTTATTGCTGAATAATTTTCCATTGTCTGGATGTTTCCCAGCTTGCTTGTCCATTCACCTATGGAAGGGCGTCTGGGTTATTTTAGCTGCCAGTAATACTGCTGTAAATGTTTATGTGCAGGTTTTTGTGTGGAAGTAAGTTTTCACATCAGTTGGTTAAATACCTAGGAATACAGTTGCTGGATTGTATGCTAAGACCATGTTTAGCTCTGTAAGAAACCGCCAAACAGTTTGAGAAGTGGCTCTACAATTTTGCATGCCTGCCGGCAATGAATGTGAGTACCTGTTTCCCCACATCCTCACTATCAATTGGTATATTTAGTTTTGATTTTAGTCATTCTAATAGGTATGTTTTCATTTACATTTTCCTAATGACAAATGATGTTGAGCATCTTCTCATTTGGTTATTTGCCATCTGTGTGTCATTTTTGGTGCGCTGTGTGTTCAAATCTTTTGCCCATTTTTAATTAGGTTGTTTGTTTCATTATTGAGTTTTAAAAGTTTTTTGTTTATTTTGGATAGAAGTCTTTTTTTATCAGATCATGTGTTTTGCAAATATTTTCTCCCTTTTTGTGGCATATCTCTCTATCTCGTGCATCTCTTAACAGAGTCCTTTTCAGAGTAGAAGTCTTTAATTTTAATAAAATCCAACTTATCAATTTTTATTTTGTGGATTATGCTTTTCTAATTATAACTAAAACCAAGGTCACATAGATTTCTCTTATATATTTTCTTCTATAAATTTTATATTTTACATTTAGGTCTAAAATCCATTTTTGAGTTAATTTTTGTGAAAGATGTAAGTTCTATGTCTAGGTTCTTATTTTTTTCCCTTTTTTTTTTTTTGCATATGGATATTATTTATCCCTGCTCCATTTGTTGAAAAAACTATCATTTCTCCATTGAATTATCTTTGCTCCTTTGTCAGTGATCACTTGACTATATTTCTGTGAATCAATTTCTGGGCTCTCTGTTTTGTTCCATTGATTCGTGTGTCTAGTCATTTGCAGTGCTCACCATCTTGATTACTGTAGCTTTAAAGTAAGTCTCAAAATCAGATATTCTGAGTTCTCCAACATTTTTTTTCTTCACTATTGTATTGTTTCTCCTGGGTCTTTTACCTTTTTATGTATTCTTTAGACTAAGTTTGTCCATTTACAAAACAGCTTGCTAGGATTTTGATTGGGTTTGCATTGAGTCTATACACTGAGTTGGAAAGAATTGGCAACTTAACAATATTGACTCTTACAGTCACAAGCATGGACTATTTCTCCTTTGATTTCTTTCATCAGTTGTGTACCTTTTTTACATAGAGTTTCTGTACATATTTTCTTAGACTTGTACCAAAACATTTCTTTAGTTGCTTCCTTAAAAGTTATTGTGTGTGTTCTTTTAATAGATTTTTTTTGTTTTTGTAGAGACATTTTAGGTTCACACCAAAATTGAGAGGAAGGTACAGAGATTTCCCATGTAACCCCTGCCCTCATTCATGCATAGGAACATATGAAGTGCTTCACAAATTTGCATGTCATCCTTGCGTAGGGGCCATGCTAATCTTCTGTGTATCGCTCCAATTTTAGTATCTGTGCTGTCAAAGTGAGTTAATTTCAAATCCCAATTGTTTGTTGCTACTATATAGGAAAGCAGTTGACTTATTAACTTTGTACCCTGAGACCTTGTTTCCTGTGCTTATTAGTTCTAGGAATGTTTTGTTTGTTGTTTTGTTATGGTCGATTCTTTAAGAAGCTTTACATAGAAATGATGTCACCTGCAAACAAAATTTTTCTTCCTTCACAGTTTTTCACTTTTATTTCCTTTTCTTGTCTTACTGAATTAGGTAGAACTTTCAGTACAATTTGAACAGGCACAGTAAGAGCAGTCAGCCTTGCTGTGTCCTCAGTCTTAAGGGGAAATGTTCAGTTTCTCACCATTCAGGATGATATTAGTTGTAGGTGTTCTTATTTTTGTAGATGTTGTTTTTCAACTTGAGGAAATTTCCTTCTGTTTCTAGTTTGCTGAGAGTTATCAGGAATGGTTTTGAATTTGTCAGATGCTTTTTCTCTGTATTATCAGATGATTTTCATTCTTAAGTCTTGTCGATATGGCGGATCACATTGATTTTCTAATGTTGAACCAACCTTAGAAAGCTGAAGTCAGCCCCCCTTGGCCATGGTGTATAATTTTTTAAACATTGGTTTAAATTTGCTACTGTTTTTGAAGATTTTTTGCATCTATGTTTATGAGAGATATTGATTTATAGTCCTTTTCAAAATTTGATAATGTCTTTACCTACCTTGGTTATTAGGAGTCCCTGTCCTTGGTTTCCCGTGGACCACAGATTTCATCCTATGGAGGACAGAGAGCAGCTGCGCCAACTCCATGGCGTCTTCCACAGGCTTCCCTGTCCCCCTCAACCTCTTGGCCCACTGTGACTCCCAGAGGGAGACTTAGGAAAAAAATAATCTTGGGAGGCATCCACTAGGACAGGACCCCATCAGGGTCAAGGCCAAGCTGAGGCCAGCCACTTCTATCCTTCCAACTGGCCCAGACGACTCCCAGTCTGGGACTAGTAATGTCACAATAATTTTCAGGAGGCGCTTCCAATGTCCAGCCTCCTAGAATGAGTTAGGAAGTGATCCTTCTGATTGTATTGTCTAGGAGGAATTGTGGAGAGTGGATATCATGTCTTCCTGTAATATTCAACAGAATTCACCAGTGAAACTATTTGGGCCCAGTGCTTTCTTGTTTGAAAGATAATTAATCATTGACTACATTTCTTTAATAGACATGTATTTATTCAGATAACTTAATTCTCCTTGTGTGAGATTTGGTCATTTGTATATTCCAAAGAATTAGACTAGTTTATCTAAGTTAACAAATTTGTGCGTCTAGAGTTGTTCATCATCTTCCTTCTTTATCCTTAAATGTCCTTGAGATCAGTAGAGATGACCCCTCTTCCATTTGATTTTTTTTTTTTTTTTTTTTTTTTTTTTTTAAAGATTTTTATTGGGTAATTGGGGGGATGGGAACAGTGATGGGGAATTGGGGGAAGGGGAACAGACAAGTTGCTGTCGTTTTTGTTCTTCAATCTAGTTGTGGAGGACGCTGCTTCACTGGCCCAAGTTGGCACCATCATTGCGCTCTTCCCTGGCGAGGCAGATCAGTCGCCGGCTTCTGGACGGCCGCTCACTGCGGCTGCTGGCCGCTCACGCTGGCTGCTGGCTGCTGGCTACATACGGTAGCCCATGGCAACCCACTGCCACAGGGACTGCAGCCTACGCCGTTGCCAGCGACTCACGGCATCCCAGCTCCAGGTTGAGCTGTTGTTCAGCATCTTAGCTGTGGAGGGCAGTGTCACTGGCCCTCATATGTGGGATCTGAACCGGGGCCCTCTGGCATCCCAAGCGAGTTCTTAACCATCGCGCCACTCGGCCAGCCCTGATTTTTTTTTCTTGCTTAGCCTGCTTTAGATATTTATCAATTTTGCTATTTTCAGAGAACCAGCTTTTTGCTTGTTAATTTTCTCTTGTTTTTGGAAATCGACTCTTTTGCTGTGCCTCTGCTTCCCAATTAAACTAAAGAAGAGGGAGATAGTTGATACATATAGGCAGCACGCTATCTGCTGCAGCTGCCTTCATGCAGAGGACGTTGTCCATGGGAGATGGGTCAGGCTGAGCCTTAGTTCTCTGGTATAGCTGCATTTTCTGCCCTCGCCTCTTCATAGGATTTGCACATTTTCTTCAGTTTTTTTCTTAACTTGAGCCATTCTTGATAGAGCTGCCTTCTCCCTTCCTCTCTGACTTGGAATCTGTTTTATGTTAGAAATACACGGATAGAAAATATTTTGTTTATTTCACTTAAGGATGGTATTTTCAATTACTATCTAGTAGATCTGTCCCATATAGAACATTCTATTCCCTCACGGAATAGTGGTGTATATTTTGGCCTCTGATTGTACCAACTATGTTCTCAGATGGTTTTAAGACCTCTCTTGGTCTGAGTTTCCTTGTTCAAAGACAAGCAAAATAAGGCCCACTTCATGGTGTTGGAGCGAAAGTTGGATGTGACCCAGCATGGCGTCATAGATGCAGCCTTCCCAGGTGTCATAGCTTCTGTGTCCTGGCCAGGAGCGAGTCTTGGGGCTTCTTCGATGTGACCATACTTATCGTTACTGGACTAGCTGCCTAAATGACTTAACTTTTTTTTTTTTTTGTGGACACTTATTTCTCCTTTGCTTTAGTTTTTACTTTGCATAGGGGTTCCTTATTTCTTTTTTACAGAAATATGGAACATTGATTTTTCTGAGCTACAAATGCATGTGAACAATGGATTGTTAGACAATACGATGACTATTGCTAATTTGACGCTTTTGCTTGCAGGGGAAGGGCAGGCGTCGCGGCCCGGCCAGTTGGAGTTGGTGCGCCAAGAGGGACGCCAACATCCCGGGGCGTGCTCTCCACCCGAGGGCCAGTGAGTCGGGGAAGAGGACTTCTCACTCCCAGAGCAAGGGGAGTTCCCCCAACTGGGTACAGACCTCCGCCGCCACCCCCAACACAGGAGACCTATGGAGATTATGTAAGTGAAGGAATCAGGCCTCACCTTTGGTGATCTGACTAACCCTCTCCAGATATACCACCAGATGTTGTTGTGACCAGGGGTCCTCTCTCACCTTGTTTTAGTTCTTGAATCTTCCACCTTAGTTCAGCAGCATTTATTGAGTGCTAAATAAGCACTTGGTACTAGAGGTACAAAAAATGCATAGAGGTACAAAAAATGCAAAGGAAATAACCTCTTTCATCCAATAGCTTAAATCTAAGATATGAAAGACGAATGTGGATGGTGGGAAGGTTCAAGATTAGGATCAAAGAGACACGTCATCCAGCCCTTGTAGGATTTGAATGTAACGTGTTCCTTCTTACTCCACTCCAGGTTGCCTCTTAGTAATTCAATCATTTAAAAAATAATTGCCTACCTAGACCAAGCTATTTTTACCCTGAAGTGTTTCCTCTTAAGCTCTGCTGCTGAATATGGGTTCCTAGTGGAGAATCTTTTCAGTGAGGAAAACAAAAAGTTCACAATTTTTTAAATTAATGCAAATCAGCTTTTCGTTTTACCATTCAATAATTCTTTGAAATGGTTCAAAGACTTACTTACCATAAGAGAAAGGGAATATAACTGTGAAAACAGTGGGAGGGGTTGAGGAAAAGAGGGATTTTTTACCAAGAGTACAACCCCCTCAGATTCTTACTGTAACTTCCTACTTTCCCCTAAAGGAAGAGCATTAGTAGTGGATGGATGTTTTTAACTGAAAGTACTGAAGAAAGAGTACATGGCTTTTATCAAAGAAAGGGAAGCAGTGACAAGGCTGAAGTGCAGGAACCACTCGCTTTTCATGTCTTGCTTTAGCGGAGGCCTCCGGCTAGGTGCTTCGCACCTCTTTGCACAGTGTCTGGAAGGTTTCAGACATCACCTGGGCCACCGACAGCCTCTTCAGCATCACCTGCAGCCACTGGGAAAATCAAAGTCTTTGTCCTGGACAGACTGAGCTTTTTGTAATCTCCCGATTCTGCCGTGTCCTCTCGGGCTTTCAGAACGTTGGTCATGCTGCTTTCTCGGCCTTCTCTGTTCATCCAACTCTCTCCTCTGTGTCCTTCTCGATTGAGGTCAGCTTTCACTAGGGAAATTCAGGGGAGATATTAGCTGACCTATTGAGCATCACTACAGTCATTGCCTCTCTCTGTCTCCCACCTAGTCTGTGACCTCTGGAAGGGCGAGGATGGATAGCTTTTATCTCTTTATTCTTGGCAGAGAGCGCATACTGGGAGCTCAGTGCATTGCACTTGACAAACCTCACGATAACTCACGTTCACCATGTGGCTATACAGTTGGGGAAGGATGTGGCCTCTAGCTCTTCTCTTGCATTTGTTACAGCTGGAGGCGTTGCTCTTTACTAATATTGGTACCAAACGTACAATAACAATCATGCTTTAAGCTCTTCCACAAATGCTGAGTCTCTGAAAAATAGTGGGACTGGGAAGCAAAGGCCCAGTGCCTGTTTACCTCAGCCACGTCACACCTGGAGTCCTCTTACCTTTGGTTTAAAGATGTGGCTGCATGATGTCGCCATAATTCTCAGAAAGGGGGTGTGGGCGACATGGACCGAGGCCATGCTGTACCGTAAATATGTGTGATGGGGCGACTTAACTTCCTTGGTTTCACCATCCACAGATTTCAGAAAGAGCCGTTTATTGCCTTCTTTCCATGCATTGCTTTCTGTTTCCACTTAACAAAGACCGATTGAATTCCCACCGTGTGCACAAGACACACACGGGCTTTTTCTCAGCATGTGTGTTTTAGTGAGCCTAGCATGCAATTAGATGAACACATGAAGTTCTCGAAAGGTTCAAGTCCGGGGAGGAAAAGGACATTCAAGGCACTTGGATTTTCTATTTGTAGCTCTGATTTGAATTGATAAGTAGTGGGAAAGGCATTAACACAATTGATCCGAAAGTATTGTGTTGAGTTCACTTACACCCCTGCCCATCCACTGCAGTGGGGAGCGGGGAGCGGCCACGTGGAATGCCCGTGTCCTTTCAGGAGCGGACAGGTTTGAAAGCTCTGGAGGAGGAAGGCAGCCTTTGTTGTTTGAGTCCCATGCTCACACCTGGCACTCTTCCAGCACTATAATACTTGTCACTGTGGCTGCAGTTCCAACACAGGCTTGCACTGTCTGCCTCACCAGTCTGGCCTTCAAGCAATGATGGCTGCATTTACCCTCTTCATTTTAATTTGGCTGCAGTGTGGCAGTTTCATCGACTGGAACCGCAACACTCGCACTCGCACACACCGAGTGATCATTTGCTCTCTGAGTGTGCTTTAGGTGGGGTCGTGGGAACGCTGTCGTGAGTCCATCCCCTTCCCCAAGTGGAAGCACTGTCATGAAGAGTTGAGATCACACGTGCTCTACTTTTCCCTCTTAATTTTGTGTATGTTATTTCTGGGAACATTTATTAAAATGAATAGCCAAGAGCAAGGGTGTTTCCTGCTTAGCCGAGTGTTTTGTCAGTCCCGTACACAGTTACAGAGATAGCTTTAGTGTTCACACTGCCTAACAGACCTCGCTGGCAGCTGGCGTGAGGAGGAGACAGGCCCCTCGCCCCCCTCAGCTATTCACCATCAGTAGCTCTGCCTCTCAGGTAGGCGCGTTTGACCTCACCTGCCTCCCCTGACCCTACTTGAATTGAATTTCCTACTTCCAGTCCCTCTAACACAGCTTTACAGTCAGTGGCATATCCCCAGTCATTGGCCATTGGTCTTAACTGTTTAAAATCCTGAAAATTACTCAGCCTATAAAGGGGAAAACCCAAACTTTAAAAAAAAAAGATTTATTTTGTTGGTTAGCTTGTTTCCAGGATTTTTGATCAGGTGGTTATTCTGCAAGGTATCTAACTTAGAAAGCCTAGGACCCTAAATTCAAAAAATGGCTGTTTATTCACGTGACAAATGGGAAAGTTGAAGTTGGTCTTCTTAAAATAAACTAAAGTGATTATTCCATTGAACTGGAATAGTCATAACTTAGATTCTAAGCTCTCTGGGAGCAGGGTCCCCGCCATCCCCATTCACCTGTATATTCTCAGCACCAAGCATACTGTGTGGCACATAGTAGGTCTTTAGTAAACGTTTGCTGAGTGAATGAGTGAACGCACTCGCATGACAATGTGTAAATTATTAGCATGTATCTGTGTAGTGCAGTCATTAGTTGTGATTGCATTGGTGTACATCTGGTTCTTAGATGATAAACTTCTGGGGAAGAGCACCGTGTTTCCTGATGAACCTCTCCCCACTGGCAGAGTTGTTGGCACAGTGTAAGCACCTAGTGAATGTTGGCGGGCCTAGGCTACCCTGCACGGAGACCTGATCAGTTTTCCTAGTGAAGGTCACCCCTTGGTCTTTTCCATGTCGTCATTACTGTAACCGTCTGGTGGGAAGGAGTATGATAGCTGGCATTTGAAAAAAATGTCTTCCTTAGTTAGCCTTGCCTGCTGGGGCTCACAGGGCTGTTTCAGGCTGTTACAGAGATCGAAGACTGATTCTGTGCAGCTCCTGAAGGAAACAGAGAAACCTACTGTCAATCTCACCTCAGTACACGAATGAACCTTCGAGAAGGCCGTACTATTGGATGAGAAGCTCCTCTCCACAAGGCTGTCTCCTCTGTGTTGCGCCTCATCCTCACAGCGACCTGGCACACGGGGTATTGTGACCGAGTGAACCATGGAAACTGAGGGCTGGAGAAGCGACCTCCTTGCCCAGAGTCTCATGGGCGATACAGAAGGAACAGACGGGAAATTCAAAATGCCAGGCCTGTATTCTATCTGGAACAGTCAGTGTTTTATTAAAAACAGCAAAACATCTGGTGCTCTGCTGGCTGGGATGATAAACTCTCCATCCTTGGAGGGAACGCCGCGGGTATGGCCCCCGTCAGGCATGCTGGCAGGTAGCAGCACTCTGAGTTAAGCAACCTCTCAGGTCCCTTGCAATCCAGTAACCCTCTGCTTTCCAGCTACCTGTAGTGGGTAAGTGAGCATTGAGAACTGCTAAGAAGACTGGGAGGAGGTTAAGATTAAAAAAAAAAAAATGCAATAAACAGAGCACTATGATCACATTTATTGGCAAAAGTAAGAATAGTATTTTTACGATTTAAGGATTTCAGAGCATCTCTATCTTTTAAAAAGACTTGTCATTCTGTTGGAACTCAGAAATGTAATTTTTAAAGATCTTGAAATACATTCATAGTGATAAAGGCTTTATTTCTTTAGAAGTTGTTTGGTTATATCGAACCAATTCGATTTACTTTTCATTTTAGCTTTTCTTTAACATTTAGTACCTGAGGCCACTATTTCCAGAATAAAAAATGAAAAGAAATCATATCAGTTGCTTATTTAAACAAAAAATGGGCTAAATCCTATTCTTTTAAATCCTGCCACAACTCCTGCTTTTTTGAGAAAGTATCTGTTTCAGTCCTTGAGGTACTCAATATTCTTCAGATTATGTGTATTAAAATGAAAATATTCTAATATAGTTTTAGGCCAAGAAGAAAATTAATGGTATATATTAAAATTATTTTTAGTAAATAGTTATAGTATGTCCATTCTAAGAATGTGCTTTATTAGCTCAAGTGAGAGACAGCCTGATAATTTGAAGGTATTTCCTTGTCAAAATGTGCCTATTGAAATTTGACTGATTTTTCTCAAGGTGAGTTGTGAAGGTATTTGATCATTTATGATGTCATCTGAGTCAACTGTTTTTCACCAGGGTCACTATCACACAATATTCTGTGTGTGTGTGTGTCATTGAGAAGAACACCGGTTAGTAAATGAGCCTTTTTGGTTCTGAGAAGATCATTATTATAAGGATACATATGACATATGCAGTAGCTATTTGAGTAGAATAGGCTAGCCATTGGTGAGACCAAGTTATTCTCTCCACGAATACTTGTCTTTTAAGAATAACTCTTAAGAAAACAAAGCAATTCAGGATGATGAGCTTTCTTCCAAAAAAGAAAACAGATAGTGATG